TACCCAAGTATTATGGATTACTGGGTTGAATTGTAACATATGTTGCCAGATTGCTTTCCAAATAGACTGTAAGAATCACATTTCTTTTAGCAATTTAGGAAGGTATTTTTCTCCCTACAATCCTGTAATCAATAAGCTATACCATTATTTTCAATTATTATAGTCTTCTGAGTATAAAATATCTCCTCTAATTTGCACTTCTCTGACTACTAGAATGTAGTAGTAGAAAACACTATGGTTTCATGTTTGCTGACCTTTTGGACTTTCTTTTCTGTTAATTGTCTATTCATATACTCAAAAACACTATAAATAAATAAAATGGAATTTTAACAAATATTCCAGTAATCTAGAAGGCAAGAAAGAGCAACAGAAAAATGGTAATGGGAAACAGACAACAAATAATAAAATGGCTGAATTAAGCCCTAACTATAGATAATTACTTTAAATATAAATGGTCTACCAGTCAAAAGGCAGAGATTGATAGAATGGATTTAAGAAGAAATATGGCCTAACTACATGTTGTCTACAAGAAATTCAACAACATAACAACATGGGTAGGTTGAAAATTAAAGATATATCATGTTAACATTTTTTAAAAAGCAGCATTGGCTATATTACTATGGTTAGATAAAGTAGACTTTAGAGCAAAGAGAGACATATAATAATAAAAGGATTACTTCATCAATCTACTATACATTTAGGATGTATATGCATTTAACAACAGACCCTCAAAATACAGGAAGCAAATACCAACAGGGCTGAAAGGAGAAACAGAAAAATCCACAATTACAGTTGGAAGCTCTCAGAAATGAAAACAACTACTAGACAGGGAATTGATACTGTATAGAAGAACTGAACACCATTGACCAACAAGATGTAATTGACATGTAAACAATTTCCAACAATAGCAGAATATACATTCTTTTCAAGTGAGCATGGAATATTTATGAAGATATCCTGGGTCATAAAACAAACATGAATTAGAATCATACACCTTGCGTCTTCTGACCATTATGGAATACTAAAAATTAATAGAAAGACAAAAGGTAAATCTCTAAAATACTCTATGAGCCAAAGAGTAAGTTTCAAATGAAATTTGAAGAATACATGAAACTCAGTGAAAATGACAATACATCAAAATTTGTGAAATCCAATGAAAGCAATGCTGAGGGAAATTTATAGCATTATATATTAATATCAGAGGTGATAAAAGGTCTCAAACCAATAATCAAGAACCTAGAAAAAATAAGAGAAAAACAAACCTAAAGCGAGCAGAGGAAGAAAGGACAAATATCAGAGAAAAAAACCATTAAAATTGAAAACAGACAAAAATAAGTTCAATGAGCTAGTTCTTTGTGAAAGATAAATAAAATCAATAAACCTTCAGTGGAAAATATAAAAAGAGAGAAGACACAAATTACTAATATCAGGAATGAAACAGGGGTAATCACTAAAGAACCTACAGAATACTATTGCCTTGAAACCAAAACCAAAGACAGTACAAAAACAGAAAACTGCACATCAATATCTCATATCTATACCTTAACAAAGTATTAGAAAATAAAATACAGCAGTGTAAAAAAAAGAGTTATATACCACAATCAAGTGGATTCAATTCCAGGTATGTTCAACATTCAAAGATCAATCAATATTCTAAATCAATATCAATATTCTGAAGAAGAAAAAACCATATGACCATATGAATTAACTAATATACACCATTATGATCCAGAAGTTGTACTCCTTGGTATTTATCCCAGAGAAATAAAAACATATTCACAAAAAAAACCTTCACACAAAGGTTCACAGCAGTTCTATTTGTAATAGCCCACAACTAGATGCAACTCAAATGTCCTTTAACAAGTGAATGGTTAAACAAACTATGGTATAGCCATATCATAGACCACTCCTCAGCAATAAAATGGAACAAACTCTGACTTACTCAATAGCTTGGATGGATCTCAAAGGAATTATGCTGACTGAAGACAGTCAATCTCGAAGAATTACATAGTATATATTTATATCACATTCTTGAAATAGACAAAATTACAGAAATGCAGGACAGACTGGTGGTTGCCAAGGGTTAAGAGACTGGGGTTGGGGGAGATGGCTGTGGAGCAGCATGAGGGAACCCTGTAGAGATGGGCAGTTCTGTATCTAATAATAGTAGTGGCAAAAAGAAGCTACAGACAAATGAGTGTTTGTAAAACTGGTGAAATCTCAACAAACTCTTTGGGGCATATTAATGTCAATCTTCCCTTTCAAGTTGTACTATAGTTGTGCAAGAAGTTACCAATGGGTATAGCTAGTTGCATAGTAAACGGCGACCTCCTTGAACATTTTTTTGCAACTTCCTGTGAATCTATAATTATTTCAAAATAAATACAGTTTTAAAACCTAATTACACATGTATTTATTTGACTGCAATTGGCTTAAGTGGAGAAAGAGACAACCTAGGAATCTTACCACATAGCCCTGTATAAGCTTCAAAACATACACCTGGAAGTCAACATATAGTACAGATGCATAAGCAGAAACTTTTCTACGATCTGCTATAACTGTTTTAATTTACTCATCCCATTTTTCCTCCAGAATAACATTTTGAAGGAAGTAATCATCTCCTGACTTGATGATCTCAATTACAACAGAACCACCATCTTTTTTGTAGTTCTTTTCATTTGTTAGGTACATCCTCATCCTTCTCATCTGACCTTAATAACTCCTGCAAAGCAGGCAGTACAATTAATGGAATAAGAAATTGAAAGTCAAAGATTTTTGTATTATTTGGCCAATGTTACATAGGAAGGGCAAAATCGACTTTTTAGCCTTTTCAGTCCTACTCCAGTATTTTCCAATCACGTTACTCTTAAATTTTAGGCCACACTACAGAATATGAAGAATAAATAGCATATTGCAGAAGAAAAGTCAGAGTAGGAATGAGTGTGATGCATGTTACACCAAGATTCTGTTCAACAGCCTCTTGCTCCTGTTGTATGAAATTGCCATGAGACCAGCAGTAAAACTGGTGAAATCTCAACATTTTGCCTAATTTTGCTGTTTTAATGACTACATACTAATCTCCAGTGGGATTCTTCTCAAATCTGTTTGGCTGGGTCAGAAGATGAAGTTTATATGATAGATATAAAATCTATCACTACTCCTCAGGAAATACCAAAAGTAAAGCACATTTACACTCATGATGAATTTGCAGAATTTTCTTTACTTGAAAAATGCTTTTTTTTCATAACTCCGTTGCTTTTAAGCCACCAATTACATCAAATTTTGGTGTAATCACACATACACAAATTTTCTAATGTCCAGATTTCAGTTTCTGGACATCAGTTAAAGTCAAGACCTTTACAAATTTGCACAAACTATCCTACTTATATATTAAATACACTTACTGTAAGCAATATATTAATATTCCTTTAGTTGAAGTATACTTAAATAGATTTTGAGATTAACATTTAACTCTAAATATAGTAATACTATAAAATGAGAAAATGCTGAAAGGAGATTAATCTTTTAAGGAAAAAAAAAGCCACCTAGTCTGAAGGTCTAAGTTAACAAAATACCAGTTTTAAAGGAGCTCCAATCGTGTTGCCCTGACTGTCTCCTGGAATCCTAGAAGTCGGGAAGAGGGCCTTAGAAGGTCTACAGGAAATATGGGGGAAAATCCTAAAAAAACACTTTCCTACTTACCATTTTAGAAAGAAGTCTTTTTAAAAACCTTCATGAATAAAGATTCTAGAGATTTTTCAAACTTTTCTGGGTATCTTTTTGTTACATCTATCTCTTCCACCGTAGGTATTTGCTCTTAGAACCAAAATGGCTAAGAACTATGAGTTCAGATGTTAGATTATAAATTCTTACAGTGTTTGGCACACCAGACACAAAGCAAGTGCCCACTGCTTGTGAAGAAAGAAAAGAATTCGTGAATCAAGGAATAAAACGTCCCAATCTGCATCCTGTCTTGTGTGAAAAAATTAAAAAACCCAGGGTGAGAGTTTACACTTAAAGCCTTAAGGCTGAATGAAAGGCAGTGTGAGCACCTGATGCCTGTTGATGCCAATGGGGGCAAAGAACAGCAAGAGCTGAAGTTGGTGTGGGTGGTTCATTCTATAACGTGCTGACTGATGTGTACTGAGGGCTTACTATGTGTAAAGCACTGTTTTAAGTGCTATATGAATTATCTCAGTTAATAAAATGACCTTACCAGTTGTCTATTAATGTAACCCATTTCATAGATGGGAAAAATTGTGGCAGAAACTACTTCCATAAAATACCACTTTCAGCAAAGGCAAATGCTGCACTCTAAATTCAAGGGGGCAAGCTCCGTTGTGACCTTGGCACCATTGATAAATAGTTGAGCAACTTCAGCCGTACCTCAAAAAACATGTGTTAGGGATTGCCAAATAGAGAGACTGGCTCAAGAGTCAATTCTCAAAGGTACCTGATGTAACAAATTTGGGAAAGACTTTGGGGAGGAGACTGATCCTGCTGAGAAACCCAAGTCCAACTCAAAAGACGTCTTAAATTAAGGCCAAATTAAAAAGAACCCTGCTGATGGACAAGTGTAAAAACTTGAGACCCAAGGAAGACAGCGATTTGCCTAGAGCTAGCTAGTCTTAACGGTACAACTCAGATCTTTGGAGTCCCCAGTCCACACTGGCTCCTCCTAGTCACTTCTTCCCAGACTATATCCTAACGTCCTGTTCCCAACTCCCCAAAGGGGTCCTTCACAACCCCCGATCAGCGGGCCGCAATCAGAGGTAAAATGGTACGCCTCCGCGCCCAGTGGGGTGACCGCCGGGCCAGCAGCCAAAGTGGTTCCGAAGCCCCCAGCCGTCGCAGCACCGCTTTTTACTCCGCTGCGGGCCGTCTGGTCCAGGGCAGCACGGGCTCTGCGAGGAGCCAGAGGGAAGGGCTCTGGATTCCACGTGCCAGCCTGCTCATCCCCCGGAGCAAAGTCATCCCAAGCGCGGCGGGGAGCACCTCACCTGTCCGCCTAGGCGGCAGCGGGGATCTTCCGTGCGTCTGCTTTGGCTTCACCGGGACCGGAAGTCCCGCCTCTCCGTGACGTCACAGGGCCGCGCCGCGCACCCGAGCGGCCACCCCCTTGTAGACACCCGGCGTGCCCCGGGTCGGGAGAATGTTGACCTAGCACGACTTTGTGTGACTGTCAGGAGAGTGTAGCTGTGCTGGAACTTTCTCTTCCCTTTCATCGGAATGTCAACTACCTTCTCTGAGTCATCCTGATCCACTTCCGTCTTCCCTTACCCCTTTCTCCATTTCTCCCCGTTTTTCCTCTACCCATTTTTCTGTTCCTTCATTACTCGTTGCATCTCTTCTCTTCCTTTACTCACATGGGAAAGCTGATTCTCGGTTGACCTCGTTTATTAGCATTAATATGGCTAGCCACTGCTTCTCTGTACTTCAGTAAATGCTGAAAATGTCTATTTCAGAGGTAGTTAGAACTTAACCACGCCCAAACTCCATGAAGACAAAGGTCACATTCGCCTTGAGAGCTGTTGCATCCTCAGCAGCTGACAGAGTAGGTGATAAGTATGTATCTGTTAAAAAATGCAGTAGTTAATATGACATAGTTTTAGAACCAGGGGAACAAACAGACAAGTAGATCTCAACCACAGATAAAAAAGAAGCTTTGATTCTTTTGTATTCAACATCTCAGTGATAGGCACCCCCCAACCCCCAGCAAGTTGTTGACAGTAGACTGGCCCCTCTTCTTTGTTACCTCCCTGTTTTTACTTCCTTAGTGTAATAGTTAATACAGTGAGTTAGAAAAAAGTCATTTACTGTGCTAAGAGCTTTTCCTGAGTTAACTTATTTATAATCCTTACAGCAACCCAATGAAGTTAGCATTAACATGTGACCATGGAGTCTAAAAACATAAATCATGAAATAAATGAGTGATTATATTACAATGACATTATATGATATGTTCAAGGTATTGTCCCTCATTACTAATGTTCAGCATATTGTGTGTGCCAAATTACGAGTATGGTTTACTAATGTAGCCTTTCTTTTAATCCTCACATATGCACTTGGGGTGCGTTACTCAAGTGATTTATGTCTCTAATTTCATTAAATAAGTCTGTGCCAGAAAAATTAATCAAACGGGTTCAATCTTTAAAAGTCTATCTTTCCAGACTGATGGATTATCTCAATTTTACCCATAGGATAAAATAAGGCACGAAGAAATTAGCTTTCAAAGGTCACTTGGCAGGGCCAGGCTCCACTACTCTGTATACTAGATCATGCTTGGATGAGTCCCACTACCTCTGCTGTTATTGAAGCACTTACTCTTCCACACCTGGACTACTTGCAACAGCTTCTAATTGTTTTCCATGTCCTTTCTCCTTGAAAGGACATTCTTCCAGAATGGCCATGCTCTCTCCTCAGGAAAGCTTTCATACTTTTGCACACACGAATTTCTCTGCCTGGGTTGCTCTTCTCCCTCTTCTCCTCACTCTCTCCATCCTCCTCTGATCAACTTTAACACCTGATGCAAGATTCACTTTCGAATGGCTTTCCCTTATGGTGTGGCGAGCTCTTTCCTATATCACCGTTTGCATTCTTCTATTAAGGTGCTTATTTGTTTCCACCATCAGACTGTGAGATCCTAGAGACAAGTATCTCTTCCTTCTTCTACCTCCCCTTGTTCTAGAATAGGATCTGATACATGGTGAACATTCCACAGATCTATGTTTAAATGGTGCCATTCAAGTAGTGGGGTGGAGTGCTCTAGGAGGCCTGTGGAATCCATTTGTCATGTGTTCCAGTAAACTTGGACATGGAGCTTTTATGTGCATAATCTTTTTTTTCCATACTAGTTTAGAGGTCAAACTAAGACAGAGATTGCCCTGCAAATGACGCTTTGTACAATCCTTAGAGACTATATTAAAATTCTTGTGTGTGTATCCATTTATTTGAAAGACTGGGGTATTTCTAAATCAAATTGTCTTTTCTAGTATTGTCCTCTATCGGTGCTTCTCAAATTTTAGTATGCATAAGATTCACCTGGAGAGTTTGTTAAAAGAGATTCTGATTTAGTGGGTCTTGAGTAGGACCTGGAATTTCAAATTCAGAGCTGCAGCTGCCACTGCAATTCAGATGGCTGGCCCTCACATTACAACACTTTCAGTAGCTCTGCCTACATGACAGTCACAGAGAATATGCTTGGTGGGAGGGTGATGGTGTTGATTTATTTGTACCTAAAATATGTATAATTGTCATCACTTCTAGCACTTACAACAGATGTTGCACAAAATATTTTTTGTGAAATGGATTTGTTCCACAGCATCCATTTATTCATTCTTTCAGAAACATCTATATTGAGTGCCTACCACATGCTAGGTACTGTTTCAGTGCTAGGGACAAGACAGAAAGATCTTTGCTTTCTTGAAGGGCAAGCAGATAATAAATAGGGTTAGAAAGTAAGTAAGAAAGAAGAAAGTAACAAAAGAAAAGTAAATGTCAAGGTGAAAGAGAGTGGCTAAATTAGGTTGGGTAGTTAGGAAAGCATCTGAGCTAAGTCCTAAATGGTAAAGAATCGGGAGATCTAATGGAAGATAATTCTCGCATGCCTTCTCACTACCTGTCTCCTTTAACACTCGCTGCCTGGTATCCTAGAGCACTGTCCTGATCCTCTTCTCTATCTAAACTCTCTCCCTAGGGGATCATATCCTGTCCCATGGCTTTAAATACCATTTATAGACACCTCTCAGATTCACACCTCCAACCTAAACCACTCCCATGGGTTCCAGACTTACAGAAAAAACAGCCTCCCTTACATCTCCACGGGAAAGCCATGTAGGCATCTCAAAGTTAACATAGCCCACACAGAACTATTGATTCCCCACTCCAAGGGCAGAGATGCATCCAGGTCTGAGTACAAGGTGGAAATATCTGAAAAATGGTTGGGGACCAAGGCAGAATTCTCTCTCTGTCTTCCTGACTTCACTTCTCTCTGGGCATCTGTCTCATTATCATTCTTTGGTGCCCAGGGTACATGACAGACTACTGCTGTTTATGGCCCATGTAATTTATGTTGTGGACCGAGGAGTCATTAGTGCTCCTCAGATAGTTTCTACTTTCTACCTTCCAGGCATTTGGCAGGGTTGCACTTCCCTTATAGCTGGGGCAGGGGACGTGTTGGTGGGGCCGAGGGAGTTGGAGCAATTCTTTCAAGTGGGTTGTGAGAAGAAATGTGTCATTTCCAGGCTGAGCCACTGATTCCTTGTGTGAGGTCCTCCAGTGCTTCATTTTTTCCTTTGCCAGTTTGATAGCAGCATTCAAGACGGTGTCTGTCCCAACAGCCTGTGTCCTTGGGTAGCTGCTGTGTAAAGCTTACCCCCCATCAAGTGATAAAACAGGCAGGAGAGAAAGAAACCCCCATTGCTACTTTTGGTGGTGTTACGGCAGTGCAGTGTGGCCTGCTCGGGGACAACCACACAGAAGGACTCTTTTGTCTCACTCTCTTGATTTTAATTCCAAATGCTCAGGGGAGAATTTCTGATTGGCTCAACTTAGACCTGGTTTCCAGCAATTGTCCAATCATCAATGACAAGCACTAGGGGTCATATGTATGGGGTGGGGTTGGGAGCTTATATATATATAAAGGAGATCCTAGTGAGCAGGAAAACATTCCACAAAGGTGTCTACTATAAGCACACATGGCTATATAATTGAATAGTGAGAAGAGCAATACATGAAATTGAAATGCTTTCACCTTTACCATAAAATGTTTAGACTCTTATTACTCATTCAATGTTTATTGATCACCTATTACATTTAAAACACTTACAGGCACTGAGGACACAAAGTCAACCCAGAAAGGAAAACTCTTGCTCTCACAGAAACACAATAAACAAATCAAATGTATTAATGTGTAATAATAGTGGAAGGAGAACTAAAAGCAGTTATAAGAGATAGAGTGAGAAGTACATTAGTTATCTATTGTCCTTTAGCAAATTACCCCAAGATGCAGCAGCTTAAAACAGCAAAGATTGATTATCTGCAGTTTCTGAGGGTCAGGGATCCAGACACAGCCCAGCTGGGATGACGTAGCTCAAAGTCTTGCATGAGGTTGCAGCCATGCTGGTTGGTCAAAGCTATAGACATCTCAAAGCTCCATTGGTGCTGGAAATCCCACTGCTAAGCTCAATCAAATGATTCTTGGCCAACCACTGTTCCTCCCTAGCTGTTGGCCAGAGGCTGACTTATCCCAGGGGCATCTGGGGACTCATTATAAAAAGCATTCGGGTGCTGACTCTGCATATTATTGATCAAGCACTATCCACCAAAAGAGGCAATGTAGGGTTTTCTGATTATTTAACTTCATGATGGGATAGCAAGGAATAATTTATGGAAAGAAAGCTTCAAAATCTAAGTTAAGGCTTATGTAGAGTAAGCTGATTATGCAACTCTAACGAATGTAAAGACCAAGAGACCAAGAAAGACTTTCGCCAAATAACAGTAATGGTTAATATTTATTCAGTATTTACTATGTGCCAAGTTTTGTGCTAAGTGCTTTTTACATAGGCCTAGAATGGGAAGAGAAGCTTGAGGACAGAGTTCAGGATGATGGGCTAAGACACATGGTCCCCTCTTTGCCCAACCTGTATGGACTCATGTCTGAGTCCTAGAGAGAGAAGGGTTATAGCAGGAAGCAGAAAGATGTAATTTTCTTACACAATCTATGAGAGATTTGGGGATTCCAAGGCAGTGCTCTTCAGGAAGCACCGTGCCAGAGTAAGCTACCAGGGGGATCCGCTTCCTGTTGAGCAGACAGGCTTCCACGTCTGCTGTGGAGCTGAAGTGATTTCAGGGGACTGTGCACACGGCAGCCTCACTGGGAGGACGTTGCAGTGGAGGTTGTGTCAGAGCCTGCGGGCCTTGCACAGGCAGCAGCTCTGAGAGGAAGAGAGGAAGGCTGGTGTTTTTTCCAATATGGCCCAGATCAACAGTAGACACAGTGACGACAGCTCCTAGAAACTGCCACAGCTGCAGGGGAGCCCTTAGTGGGTGTAAGAAATAGTTGGGGACACTGTGCA